GACGGTACAAACCATCTGCATTGATCCAAAGAGAGTGAAGGCGTCTTCTTCTTGGAACATCATCCTCACTCCCAGACCCCGAATCCCATCCTGAATGTCTTGCGACTCTGTTTCCTTAGAGCCACGGGCCCTGATCTCTCCTGTCAAGCATAGAGCCTCTCACGGGCGGCGATGAGAAGGGCTGCTCCTGTTCTTTCCCGCCTCGCCCCCAACGAGCACGCACGGGTGGTGCAGACGCGCTGCGCAGCCACGCCACCACCAGGGCTGATTTCATAGCCACGCCCATCACTCGGGCTGATTTTCATAGCCACGCCCACCGCCAGGGCTGTTTTCATAGCCACACCCATCACCAGGGCTGATTTCATACGCCACGCCCACCACCAGGGCTGATTTTCATAGCCACACCCACCACTAGGGCTGATTTTCATAGCCACGCCCACCACTAGGGCTGATTTTCATGGCCACACCCATCACTAGGGCTGATTTTCATAGCCACACCCATCACTAGGGCTGATTTTCATAGCCACGCCCATCACTAGGGCTGATTTCATAGCCATGCCCACCACTAGGGCGATGTTTCATGGCCACACCCATCCACTAGGGCTGATTTCATAGGCCACACCCACCACGTAGGGCTGATTTTCATAGCCACGGCCGCAATCACTAGGGCTGATTTTCATAGCCACGCCCATCACTAGGGCTGATTTCCATAGCCACGCCCATCGCTAGGGCTGATTTTCATAGCCACGCCCCTCACTAGGGCTGATTTTCAGGGTAGGGCTTCTATTGTGCACATGCTTAGACATCCTGCTGGGGCTTATTGTATGGGTAGGTCTTATTTTCAGGGAAACAGGGCAGACATTATTAATCTCAATTCTGCATATGAGGAACAGGCTCGGGGAGGTTAAGTAACTGGCCCAAGGTCACGCCGAGCTGGCATCTGAAGCCAGGCAGTCTGGCTCAGGAGTCTGCGTCCTTGCCTCTTATCCGACAGCCCCCGATATCCCTCTCACTCAGCCTTTTTTGCAAGAAGATATCTTGCCCCTTTTTCTTACACCCAGTGGCAGATGTAAATAACTTTCCAAAAAGTTAAAGATTTTATGAATCAGGAGAGAAAGCAGGGATAAGTGAATAACTATGAAAATAATAAAAGCATCTAGGCCTTACTGAGACCTGAGCACACTCTAGATGGGAGTCTGGGCACCTGATGTGTATCGACACACTTCAGCCTGCAAAAGGTACTGGGATTGCCCTCGCTTTATGCGTGAGAATACTGAGGCACAGAGAGGCTAAAAACTCACAGCCAGGGTATGACCCACATACTCTTTTTTTTTTTTTTTTGAGACAGAGTCTCACTCTGGCTGCCCCGGCGGCCTAGGAGGTTGAGCTGCCCGAGCGCGCTCGAGCCCATCGGCTCATCAGGCCAACCTAGACTCCTGGGGCCTCAAGTGATGCCTCCTGCCCTCAGCCTCCTCGCCGAGTAGCTGCGGACTACAGGCATGCTGCGCACCATGCCGCGGGCTCATTTTTTCTATAGTATATGTTTTTAGCTTGCGCCAATTAATGTCTTTTCGTA